TCAGGCTAGCACGCAGTTTTGCCCTGAGATTTTTGCGTGTCTCAATGTATTAGCTTCCAGCCGAAATACGTCGGCGAGCATCCATAAGTTCCAGAGATTTGGTAGAGACCCATTGTCTACGTAGACAGTTTGATTTGCCATATGAAGACACGTCTGCTGATAGTAATGTTTGACCAATATGCGACCAGTGATCTTCGACTGTTCTCAGTAGATGCTAACTCAGTCCAGATGCTAGCGTAGTTTGATACGCAAGCCGAACTCCTGGCTTCGCAAGCTGGCTGGTGTCATTGCGCTCAGACCGACTTTTCGGACGTCCACAGAAACGCACCCGCAGGTCGGCACACACCAGAGCATGATCAGGGTCCACGCTCATGCTCCAAATCGAGCGACAGTTTTCGACCCAGCCTCTCCAGCGGTAACTAATCATGATATGATAGCTTTGCGTCTACGGCTGGCCCGTGGCTGTTGGGCGTCAAGTCACTCTTCTCCGTTTGCTATGCAGAAGGTTGGTGCTCGTAAGAAAGGGACGAGCACCTTCACACAGGTGTAGCAATCGCTCACCGTTATCATTACGAGAGCCTCCAGCATGTTGGCCGCTCAGATAAAGCTCATCAGCGGACTATTTTCCGACTTGGGCGTTTAGATCGAAAGCCAACACTACGGTGCTTCTTCGGTAACGAATGAGATCGTGCAATTGCTGATGGAAATCATCTTTCACCGAACCGGTACTGCAGTTTGGTGAGGCGTAAGCCGCAATGACTAACAGGCAACGTTAGTCCTCGCGAGACCTCGAAGGCTGGAACGAGTCAGCAAACCTAACAGCGCACAGCCGGCTGTTTACAGGGATCCAGTCGATCAGGGAAGCCTCAGCGCAGGAACTCAAAACAATGCCGAAGATAGCTTGACCTGAATTTGAAGCTGCGTCATCGCCAGACAGACGCAATGAGAATGTGCCGCCAGTGTGGCATGTGGGGGATCTCAGGGTAAGAAGCAAGCTCGAATCTTGCAGGCTGGTCTCCGATAAACAGCAAATATCCATCGAGAATGTGTCGTGTGTTCGGGCAAGGGCTGCTTGTTGGCTAAGCTGCAGCAAAGTGCGCAGTCTGAGACATGCTAGTCTTAGCGAAGATCGAGGACTCCAAAGGGATCTGGATGAACTGACGTTGTCCGCTTGGTTGAACATGAACTTGTCTACTTGATTGGAGCGAAGCCCTGCAATTGTGTATGAGTTGAAACTAGAAGACAAGACATTATTCAGGCAAGGAGGAGGGCCAAGAATTGGGGGATTAAAACGGAAGGATGCAAGCGAAGTTGAAACGGGAGGCTAAGGATGAAAAAGCGCAAGAGGGGGAATAAGAAGGCGGGAAGGCCTGAGCAGTAGCATCTAAACCCCTATCGACCCCGCACGATACAGCAACTGGGGCGCCGTTTATTATCCTTTGCGACGACCAGAACATCAAGAGATTGTTAGCATAAAAAGTCATGGTGTATTCCTTTGGCAGGATACTGTCAAGTTGTCCAAACCTATTCAGGAGAACGATTAGGGTTTTCAATTAAAGCCTTTGGTACGAAAATCTGACCGCAAGGCAGAGGGGTTATAGCACTTGACTAGAGAAAGTACATTTTATGGGGTAAGGAGTCACCCTCACTCCAACCCCTAACCTGGAGGGTCAGGAGACTGCGTTTGTCTGGCCTCTAACCATTGACAAATTTGGTATGAGTGGCTATGTAGGTTCAAAAGGCATCTCCCAGCATAGCTCATTGAATCACAGAGGCACCCACAAAACATCGCACAGCGTTAAGAAAAGCCCATCATGATGGTCCAGTCTCATTGGTTGGAAGTGAAAGTACTAGAATCGCTGTTCGACGAAATTGAGGTGGACTGTAGCGTACCACAACGCACGGTGCTCGGGCCCCGTCTATCCTTGATTTTCATAAAGGATCTGGCGAAGGAAATTACTTTCGATTTCTTATTATTCGCGGATGATATCAAGTTATGGCGAGCGACCGAAGAACCGAATGACCACGGAAAGCTCCAGGATGACCTCAACACGATTTCAAACTGATCAGTTCTGAATACACTAGCATAAAATTTGGAAGAATGTTACGCCGTTCAATTGCGCCATAGGCATGACTACGTGTATAGGCTTGGGTCAAACGTGCTGCAAGCAAATTCCCGAAAACGTGACCATGGTGTGCTCCTTCAAAGTGACATTAACTGTTCAAAGCAGTCAGAGGTAGCTGTGAAGAGAGCCAGTTAGCACGTCGGCTTGATGCAGAAAGCGTTCGGAAGATTTCACCCATCCATCTTCCCCATGATGCACCATCACGTTGTATACGTCATCCAAGCATGGCAACCTTGGTGGAAGCGCGACTTAGAAGTGATAGAAAAACCACAACGCAGGACCACAAAGAACATTAAGGGGCCTACGAAACCTGTCCTACCATCAAATGTTAAAGTCACTGGGAGTTTTCAGTGGCCGCTAACGAAGGCTGCGCAGCGATCTCATATTAGTCTAGCATATATTGAGTGACCCTAATCACGTATGCCGTCACTTGCTGAAACCCAGCCAAAACACCAATCTCAGAGACAATTCTCTGAAATTGAGTGCACAGTCTAGCCGCCTGCAATGCCGGCGGAATTCCTTTTCTCTTCGGGTTCGCCAACCCTGGAACTCTCTCACAAACTTAGTTGTATCCTCTTCACCCTGGATATTTTCAAAAGCTATTGAAACTTTCCCTTGGCCCCCATCACTTCGTTGCCTAAACTATGCTCCTTTGAAACCTACTAATTATCATTTCAAACCGGATTAACATGTTATGTAAAACTGGGGGCTGTACAGAACTGATTAATCTTGCTTTTGCTTTTCTCGCAGAGTACGACTTTAACTGTCTCCATGTTGCCTCGTCGTTCGAATGCAATTCCAATTTACACTACTTTTATCCAGCGGTTTATCTGCTAGATAAGCGCTCAAATAGACAACGCACATATCTTTTTAAATTGTAGTTGTACCCCCAGAAACCTGCACAACTTTTCAGGCAACTGCATTTTAACCCGGCGTAACTCATTGTTCATTGTTTATGAGTCATAAAAACATTCACGCTAACAGCTTATGGATACCATGATGTACACTGCAGCTGTTCGTGGAAGTCGTGGCTCAATGGCAGCAACACTGTTCTATTGCAAGTTTCTAATTTACATGGCAAGGGAAGATGAGCCTCGCTATATATAGAAGCTAATTTGTAACTCATGACGATTCTTCACCGTCCCTTGTGGCCTAGTGGCACAAGCAGTTGGCTCCTAGCTTGCGCCGATAGTAGTCATGGCCTCTGTTCCTGAAGCAGTCGGGAAGGCGCCCCTCCGATGGGTCACAAGAATATGAGACAGCTATTTAAAACTTTAAGAAATAGCGGCAAGCAATTTGCTTTAGAACTTGCTGAAATGAAATATCAACACTGGCACATCGGAATCACCTACACGTGAGCCATCGATGTGACCGGAGCGCGATGAATGTGGGATGCTTTTCAATTGTCCCCGAAAGATTGGGCAAGCAGATCTCCTTAGGATCCAGAAACTCGTAATCAACTCAATGCACAGGATTCCATTATTTTTTGTGACTACAAGAATAAAATGCTTACCGATATTACACGAATTCAGGTTTCTGTAAATGTGCTGCTTATATTAAGTCGATGCACTTGCCACGCCAAGCTTTTCTGATAAAGCTTACACAAACTGTACAATGTGAAAATCACATACACCACCATTCTTGGTATAAAAAGTTGCTGGTCAGCAGTGTATTTGTTCTTGGCTTAGCCAGTAAAAGCGCCTATTGCAAGAGGCGGTTTTCTTTCATCTCTCTCTCTCTCTCATTGGGTCTTCTAGACGCTTGTGGGATCGGCGTTCGTACTAGTTGCTTGTTTAAATTCATGCGTATGAAACAATCGTCGACTTGTTCTTGGGTCATGTGGATCGGATTCTGTCGGCTACATTCCAATGAGCGAACACACTCCGCAAGTCGTTCTGTCTTTCATTCGTATTGATTAGCGCCTTTATAACAAACCGAATATGCACAACTAACCGGCAGTTTGTCTTTGATTATTTGTTACAATTCCCTTGCTGATGAAGCTCTCTGATACATCCACATATGCACCGTGCCTTAGGTATGTATGAATCGTCTCTAACAAAACGTAACTGGACATACGCAGTAAGAAGTAGGTTAATTTCGCTGGCTACCATTTGCCGCTACCACTGTCACTAACGTTTTCCCTCGACTTGTCTGTTTCCATTTTGACTAAGCATTAGTTTGGATTAACGGAAATACACAGAACAACGTTTCCTGCGCCATTAGCTGTTTAGAAGTTGGTGAATGAACTTGTGTTTGTGGTATGTGATTGTCACAGGATAAGTATGATTAACGAAGAACCATTGTCTCCGCTCGGTGGTGCCAAAAAGCCGTGTTTCGGTACCTATGACGAAATAAGCTTTCTACATATTATATCTATAAAAAAATGGTTGATACACCTAAACGGTTATTCTACTACGCCGGTGAGGCAAACTACATAGGAATATTGATGCACGGTGTTTGGAATTGGGGCAATGTACACATCGGTGTTTTGCACGAGTTAATATTTAAAAGAACAAGTTCGGTTTGTAGCTCAAAAAGTGGGAAATATCTCGCATACATGTATCTTCTTCACTTCATAGAGTGCTGAATCGAGGTGATCTCAACTTCCAGCTTTCCGTACTCTGTAGATAAAGGTGTCACCAATTCTGCACAATTATATTTTAGCTCGATTTTAACTGGGATCCCATAAACTCCTGACCTTCTTGGAGTTTCAATTCAACAACTACCATCTTTTAGGTTTCAAGATGGACAAAAATTGTAATAGGAACCGCAATTTCCTTTTTTTACTGTCTGACCAATGTGGGTATTCTAAATCGATTCACGTGTCATTAAGGTAAACATTCAAAACCTGCAAGGCAACGATGACAGACTTACGCGATGTCTCAGTTCCCTCGCGAATGCTGAACGGCCAGTGTGACTCTAGAAAAGAAAGCACAACCTAGGTTTAAGATTTGGTATTTCAACGAACGCTGCGTTAAAAGATGTGGTACGGAAGACTCACTGAAACATATGGTAGTTGTATAGACAAACTTTGGTTTGTAGTTTAGCTAAGGTAAATTTCCCTCATGCTATAAACAAACTGCTTTATGCAACCTCATTTGTTTACGTAGTAAGAATTAGCGATTAAAATAGCCGATTTATTTAGCCTCATAAGCTCAAGGAACCTCGTCGATCACTTATTGAGAAAATGTAGCTTGTTTGACTCACTTAGTGTGTGCTACTTGGCACCTAACACATTTTATGCCTATATATAAACTGGCTGCAGTCACCTCATTGATGCTAACTAGTTTGAAGCTGTATTTTAAACCTGATATGCGGCATTTGTTACGCATTTGCTCTTAGACAATCAACTGACTCTTTCATCACTTTCTGTAAAATGAAGAAGTGCGTGTGAAGGACATACCATCAGTAAGTTTTCGAAGTTGGCTTTCATTTCTGGCGTAAGTTCACTGTGGGATGACAAGTTAAAAAAAACAATAGCTAGAAGTTCATCCACCAAACGAGGAAACTAGCTAAAGAAAATCATTTGGGTTAAGGAGCTACAACTTAAAAGTGGTGCATTGCGTATGATCCGCATGAAAGGACTTCAGGCTTGACGCAGATGTTGCATTGCTAACGTTTAGAACAGTTTTGCGGTTATTCTCATTGGACCACTGTACTCATTTGGTGATAATCACCCAACTATGGATCACTGGTCGCGGTCATTTAGAGGTAATGGTATTGCTACAGGGTTAGGCGGTAGTGCTTCGCCACCTGGGGGCACTACATTTATGCGCAGCTACTGAAACTCCTAGTTCCCTGCGGTTTATGCATGGCAGAAAAGATTCCTTGCTACTCACCCGCAGGTGGTGTCCAAAATTGCATGCATCACTATTCAAGATTCACTTAAAATAAACTCTTTATACTTCATTGATCAGCTTGAAAGTACCTGTGTACATTCGCGGATGTCTGCTGTGCAAATGAAAGTGTCAGGGCTTTTTAAGGGCCCAGATCTTTACACTCAATTATACGTACACGAAATTGCCTCTGGGGCATCGCTTCCACACAGGATGTGTTTCTAGGAAAACACGATCCGGCTCATTTAATAAATACTGACCCACCTTCATTTAGACGGTATTAAAAGCAGCCAGCGCTCTACAATTATCAATGTAACTGGTACTCAGTGCGTTTCTGGCGAGTATTGGAACGAGTCGTTAATGGATAAGGAATACAATGGTCAGCTAAATGTCTTCAGAATACGCTTTCAAGCGCTGGGTTATTGGATATGACTAGTTAACCAGAACCGATGCAGAAGGAATGAGAAATTACTAGGTTTTTTCATAGTCAGATGAAAATTGGATGTGATCCGACCGAAAATACTGCCCTCCACAACCGGTGTCAAAGTTATATGAAATCATCAGGTAGATATACCATGCCTGGAAACCGAAGCAACTGGGATATTAGCTGTGACCTCTACCCCTAAGCTACGGGTCGGGACGGGCAAAAATTGGCACTTCAATACTAATCACGGTCTACATTGAGATTGCGCGTTGTAATCCAGTCACAAAACGAGTTATTCAAGATGACCGTCTAATCATTTTTCCAGAATCCGTTTTGTCCGTTTCACTAACGTTTCCCGAGAGTGAATGTTGCTGTGCCCGTTCGTACAACTTGTCAAGATTTTCTAACAGTCAGCAGCTAGTCAACAAACATCCTGGCCTTTGTTCTTATGGCTGATAACAGTATATGATTTGATAAAACTAACCCTGCCATCCCTGCTCTCATTCCGGAGCTAGATTTTGCTCTTAATCGTAAAGGAAATGGTAGTCATTTATGAAGTCCCTCATTACTACCAAGGAATGATTATTAAAGACAACTATTCGATGCACATTGCTAAGCTTGGTACATGTGTCACGAAATTAAACCTGGTGCTCCGACTAGATAAACGTCTAGTGGGTTAAGATTCCATGTTCTTGACGAACTCCCATATTTACGACATGCGGATCTACTTATTTCATATGACAGCAGTTGTTCCACACAAATTACTTCCCTAAACTTCTAGACACACTGTCAAAGTAGCTACAATCCCAAGCGTTCTGTTGGAATCAGATGTTATTCGACAAAATTGCATCAATCAACCGAAATCAGTAAGACAAAACGTTCGCTTTATTATTTGTTTAACTTATGTTATAACCGATCTTCAGGGAAATATTGGTTAATCTGCGGGGCAGAATGGATCCAGATGTTTTTCCTGGGTGAAGTAAACCTACATTGGTACGGTCTAAACGATGTCTTGGTAGACCTTTACAAAGATATGCAAATCTTGGGTTGGGAGCACTGCTAATCACACTCACCGCATTTCAAAAGTACAGTCAATCAGATTTTTAACATTTTGTCTGATGTGATCGGCCTCCTCTTCTGGAAGACTGCATTCACTTTCAAGTGATGTGCGACGTTCTACGGGCGTTACTTCAGCATACATCGGGCGGTCCCCTTCATCACCATATTCACTCGCCGAACTATTATCTCCTTCATCTGCATCCCTTGCTCCGTTCTCTCCTTTCTTCCCGACAATGTGTCCACCTGGCTGCTCATCGGAAAACTTGATGGAACTGAATTTGTTCGATATTTCATTGATCAGACCATTCTTTTTGGTTTGAACAGAATCAAGAAATTTGGAAGGCCCGGAAAAAAATCCGGCCTTCCCAGAACCGGACTCAGGTGCAGGGACCTCACCTCCCTCTACCTGTTCACTATATAGAACATTTTTAAAAAATCCACGGACGTTCATTTGGTACCCTGTAAGAGAACAAGATTTGGTCTATTATTCTCCGCAATGGCAGACTGTTGTTTTAAGCTGTGCATTCATAAACTATTGTTCAGCTTCCAGTTCACATGCAATAGTTATGTAAGTTTCTGATATTGTTCCAATGAATATTAGGCGTTGCCCGCCAGAAAATACTGCACTCCACTACACTGTTGACCTTGCTAGATCTCATCAGGAAGATATATTAAGCATCGAACCCAGGAGAACAATTGGGATCTTAGTTGGAAACCGTCGTGAACTGGTGGCACCAGGGTGCACAGGGTTCACAAATATCATCCTAACATTCCCAAGTTCAACGCTTGTTATCTCTACCTGATGAGCTCAAAAAAGCCTGACAACGGCCATGGAAGGTGGTGTTTTCGAACACCCAACACTCACTTTTCCTATCCTCTATCAGTTACCGTCCCAGTGATCACATTGACCAAGGTCCTCCTCAACTTGAACCTCAGTCCCCATTGCAAGCCATTCAAACGAATGCTTCAGAATGAATCACCAATTAGTAGATTCTGCGTTTAGTAAATGGAGGTGGGTGCAAAACTAAAAATTAGGTTGCTTTTTCACTAAAGATAATCTAAGCACGCAACGTGGCATGTGTTTTCTGTTGACGCGTTAAAGAAGCAGTAAGAGACTGAAGCCTGCATCATGTGATTTCTTAAGGCCCATCCATTGCTGTCATCCAAAAGGTACTGTCTCTCGAAATTGGCGTTCCGCAGGCAAATTTGTATTGATAACTGAAATCTCATGATAACAGCTTGTACTCCTACACATCTGACTACCGCTCAGTCATCTAGGTGGCTGGCATGGATTGCTTATGTCAAATTAGAGCTCCGGTTGGCACTGAATGAAAAGGTGGATCTTATATCCTAACCTGACACGTTGTTGTCCAAAGATTCTTTGTAGCATAGGCTTTCGACACAATATCGCTTTCACTGTCTCCAGCAGTCTTGTGCGATCTTATAGAAATATGGGTCACTGGAGCATCACTGGTGTAGGTTAGCAACATCGCATCAGTAGTGATGTAGTTGGACATCGGATTTTCAAGTCAGAAAGACTCAGCTAATCATTGGGCTGCATAATTTTCTTCGGTGGCTCGACACGTTCTCAGTATGCTTACTCAAAAGTTACCCCGTAATGCTTTGTCTGCATGCACCAGCGTTGATTGGAAGTGACGTATAAATAAACAACCCAACCTGCACCCACGGAGTGAAAGTATTGACACCGTAGTTCGCTACAATAAGATGTTTCGGACGCTCAGTTTGACCGGTCCAACGACAGGGAGCATATGTGGTTGGAAACACCATCGGATGTCCTCAGAGATCGTGTCACGAGACTCTTTCTCCCTAACTACCATTTCCTTCCTCATTTTTATTGTTAACGGTGAGTTGTGGCCTTCTAACAATTTTACAATGACTAAACATTACATACGCTTGCTGCCGTAAATTGCTATGCGGCGAATAAATGCCACATCTGTTGGTATGATGCAAGGATGTCCAAAATCCCGCGTTAACATTGACACTGGTCTGCGGCCTCATCTTGGATTTACCAAATGCAGGCTAGGATATTTTTCGTATAGATGGCATTAAGCAATTAAAAATGAGAGAACAAAATTCAGTGACGTCAGATGCTGACAAAAATCAAGGAAGTACTGAGTAATTTTACCCCATTAGGTAAAGTCTATATAGTACCTCTAGCAAAGAGGTCCTAACTAAATAAAAATAAATATGTCAAGTTCTCAGTTTCATCCATCACATTCAAAATGCAATGCAAAATTGATGACATGTGCAATATTTTTCTTATCTTAATATCAGACTGAATGTGACCGGACATAAGTGTACCTAACAAAATGTTGCCATCCTTACAAAAGTGTTGGTCACTCCTAGAGTAATGCATCAGTCACTGATGAGCCAAAGATACAGGCTGGTCACAATTGCTGTAGAAACACTGCTAAATCTGGTCATCTGAGAAAATGCTGTGTATAGAATGCACCCTAAGCAAAAGCGGTCACATTTTGAATCTGAATTATTGCGAACGTCCCAATATTGGGCAATTTTTTGTGAATAATTCAAACACGTTCCCTTTCTAGCATAACTAAGTGATCTAAAATGTGGAACGTACGGTATTAATTTTGCCAAGACAGTATTACCAGCATTCGCGATCAAAAAACCTGATGACTCACCTGCTAACGGAGCACGTGTCGGGCTATGAAGAAGTGTACGGGGAAAGTTAGTTGTCCTTCGTGTAAGTTAACTTACCCTAGTGTTATGGAATGCAAATAAACAGTGTGGGTAATACTGTGACTATAATACAATAACTGCTGTCCAAACCGAGACAAAATCGTGTTCGTGGTGTGTCAGGGTTGGGAAGAGCAGCACCGAATTATTTCCATCTCGGATACAGTCCTTGTGATTGCAATGACCGAGGTCTACCTCTGAGTGAACCGAGGTCTCCATGGAAGTTACGTGTTGCAATCCAACTGCACAGCGAGTGCTCTAAATTCATCTGAACTGCATGAAACACTGAACTGCGTAATCAGCCATCGATTGCGTCCTCAATTACAGTTCCATGTTGAGAACACCGCACTGAGTCTCTAACTTAGGATGTAGGGAGTGATAGCTGACACACAGATAATAACATTTACTAAAATGACTTATGACTTATTGTTGAATAGCATTAAATATCTTTTTAAACTCAGTTTAGATTTAATCTCTGCTTATGTCACCAGGACGTTGGTAATAGTGTGCTCCACAACCAAGACTTCCCATTTAGCAGCTATGTAAGAAATAATCTTTGGATGTGGACGACAGGTATTCAGTTGTTCTGTCTGCTTACCAGTTAACTGCGGTAACTCATATTTCCATGACATCAAAAAAGCCTACTTGCAAGTATTGAAAACAGTATGGCTTCCTTTGCTGCTTCCTGGGAAATGTGTAGATTAACTTGAACAGGTAAAATCGGTGTCCGGCCTTACCAGTTGAAACAACATAAAACATGACATGCGAGGTAACTCGGAACGATATGCCTTGTAGGAGCAGCAATCCCATCAACAACTCTGCATGCTGCGATTTTGGTTAATTGCTGATTAACATTAGTGTACATCACTGATAAGCCCGAAAAATACGCTGGTGGTGTTAAATCCTAGTTGTTTTTCATAATTAGTGTTTAAGAACAGTGATGCAAATGTATGCCAATCGTATTGCAATTTTGTGGTACATCACTGAAATGAATTATTATTTAGTAAGTGATCGGAGACAGGTACTCGTCAGACAAAGGTCGATAACCGTGGTATTGTTAGAGGTCCCCAGGAGAAATGGACATAGCCTTAGTAACATGGCGGCGCTTAGTTAACTGACTGGCCGCGCACTGCTGTGTTTAATCCCAGCTTCGTCAGAGTGGTGTCTATAACCATATGCCTGTCTCCCAGTTACGTTTCTAGTAAGGACTATTGACTCCGCAGTAGGAGTTCCACATGAACAGAAACAGCGGCCTTTTAATATATTTGTGCTCTTAAACTCTTTGTATTAACTGGTTTATCCTTAGGATCAAACATGAGTCACTACATAGCCGTTGCCCATTTGATGGTGCTGGGTTCAGTAACTTCAGCACGAGTGGATCCGCCTTGTGCATACTGTGCTGAGGACAAGGTTGCACACTTCATCATTTGGCAGCTATTACTCTTAGATTAAATGGGCCGCCAGTGACATTCACTCCTCCATCGTTTGTTAGGTTACGTGTTAACTTGGATAACTTGACTTCCCTAATGTGTTATCCGTATGAACAATTTGAATGGACTTCATTCCAATAGAGAATGAACGCGTTAAATGCCCTCAAACACCATCCTACGTTGCATTTCTCTGGACAACCGCCAAGGTCTTGGCGCTGCCTCTAAGGATTATGTTTTAAACAGAGAACTATAGCCACCAACTTGCAGACTCAGGATGTGACTTTTGTACGCTTCATCCGACCAGTATCTTCGGTGATGTATATGCTATCTATTTCATAGGGACCGTTTCCATGAGCACATTCAATTCAGTAATTGTTCTGTGTTTGAAGAATCACATCATAGTTTATTTCTACCCTGCTAATGTAAGACCTAGAAGAAGACCCGCTCTTATTTGGCTGATGGCTGGCTCCCAGCAGATCTGTTGGAAGATATATATGGAGACGGCTTCGTTGATACTTTTTACTTGATTGCTCTACGTTCAACCGTCAAGCGTAGCAAAGCTTCGCACGTCCTGAGGTTTACGCATGTCTAACACATAAGGATTTCCTTCCTATTGCATTGGAAGCACATCCACAACACCGTGCCCGACAAATAAATATAATGCATAAATAGGTGAAACATGCATGACTGAACGTATGTTTCCCAACTATGGCAGTAATTTTCAAGTCTGTCAGGCGAATGAGCCACAGCATTTTCCCCGAATTCGAATCACAGTTTTCGACCGTCATTAAATTCAAAAAAGGGAATTAGTTCTACGCAACACGTAGTTTAAGTGACCATTCGTAGGTACTAGTTGATCGTAAACCATTCCTCAGATGATTCAAGATAATACAGCTTAAGTTGTTACATCCAATGTGATAATAGAGAGCAAGGCTCCCATTTTGACCCTACGCAGCCCAAGTGCTTTCGTCTTTGTCAGATGGCATCTGCGCAAACATAGAAACGAACACAGGTTGATTTAACAATATTTTCGTGATTGTTGTGGTGAGTGGGTCTTATTATTGCATTTTACCTAATAACATGACATCTGACCTGATGTCCTTGACGAGATCTAAGCATGCTGGTATGTGGATGGATGTTGTGTGACAAAATCAGTGCGATAAAGTTGTACGTTGACGGCCCGCAATACTGCCATCCGCGACCGATGCACTAGTGCTGGCAAAACTGAGACTGGAATCTAGGGCAATGGCGTTGCCGAAGGTAGATTTTGATCCTACATTTCCTACGGTTTTCAAAATATTGGTGAGTCAT